CATGTTCATTTATGAATTCTTTAAAGAGGAATAAGATGACACATCAATGTGCAGGAGACTTGGTGTGTATCCATAGTAATCTTGGTCTTTTATCAGGAAGAATTCCAGGATATGCAAAAGGAAATACAAAATTGTGGGATATTGTTGAGGATTCTTTTGATCCATTTGAGGATGTAGGCATGCTTAAATAGCTAATCTATCTTTGGATGAGGCAGAATTAGAAGTTGTAGTGATGTAAACTAATGAGAGAGTTTTTTTTTGTTAAATGAATCAATGCCTTTTAATGAATTAGAGCAGCCTCCTTTTATAGGAGGAAGACTGTCAGAATTACAAAGGAAGAGAAAATAGTAGTTGGTTACTTAACAGAATGGTTAAAGCTTAACAAACTTTATAACTAAAGATGTTCTACCTAACCAAATAACTAAATAGACATTCTTGGTTACATCAATTTCCTTCCCTCTTAAAACAAAACTCGTCCTCGAGTTTAAAAACTGTGGAGTTAGAAGGCTATGAACAATCTTCAAAATGGAAACTTTTGGAAACTTTGATTTTTCTTGTGATTCAAAAATACTCCAACTAAAAACTCCTTTTTGAACTTCTCAAAACAAAAATACTCCTCATATCTACATTCTTGAAGTCTACTGTGAGGGAAAGACTTTATCGTATTTTCTTGTAGCCAACGTTCTTGAAGTCCGACTAGAGAATAAACACTTTGTTGTTGATATCTCCTTGCTTGTGGATTAGATAGTTGTTTTCTTTCAAGACTATTGTTGTAATTACCCTCTATTGTTTCTTCTCAATAGTGTACAAGGGTTGGTTTAGTCCCAATACTGTACTTTCTCAAAAAACAAAATCTCCCTCCATTATGTTCAAACTTGTTTGTAGTACTTCTTGGCTGAACAAAATGTTTGGTTTAACTAATGGCTTACCATTTATAATAAGTTTATTGATGTGGAAGAAACCTTCATCACCTTCAATTTTTGCACTCCTATAGAAATTGATTACGCTTGTTTACATGCGTAAAAAGAAGGTTTTAGATGCTGTTTTTACTATGTTTCAGCTTTGTTTCGGATTTTTCTCGATCGTTTGAGTTCCAATTCATGCAAAATTCATATACTATGGTTTGTGGATGGCTTATATTGTATTTATGACATTTTAGGACCATTTGGGAGTGCAAATTAATCAAAAGAAGCAAAAAGACGAAAAAGTTACATGGGAGGCGCCAGGCGCCTGGGAAGCCTGCAGAAAAACAGGTTTTCTTCCAACTTTGCCCTTAATGAAACGCGTCTTCCAATGCGTTTTGGTGGTTCCAACCGATGCATACGTGTAGAAGAAGTGTTCCACTATCAGTTTGAGCACGATTTGGTCAGTCAAAAGAGTTGGAAATGGGTGATTCACCATCGTTTTAGGACCTACCTAACCAATTCTGCACAGCTATAAATTCCAGCAACTTCTCCACCRAAATCATMAAGCCTTGCTTCCTTCTCTTGATCATTTTTAGTGTTTCTTTGTTGCTTTCTAAGTACTTTTGAGTTGCTTTCATTAGTTACTTTTGGTTTTTAAATCCCGAGCACTTTACATTCTTTTATTGAGCTTGTTTTGTTTCCATTTGTACTTAGTCATTTTTTCTACTTATTCAAATATATAAAAATCTAGCACTTTGCTTATTCTCTCTTTGCCTTTACTTTATTTTYAGTTAAGAGAGTTGTGTTTTTGGAGGAAAGAGCACGTGACACTCTCCCTTGCTTGAAAGAGAAGGGCGAAGCTCTCAATCCCGATAAAAACTCTCCATTAG